AATTGCTTGAACCTAGGAGGCAGAGGTTGCAGTGAGCCAATATCATACCACTGCACTCCAGCCTGGGCAACAAGAGCGAAAACACTATCTCAAAATAAAAAAAAAAAAAAAAAGAAAACCATGCATTCAAAGTACTCTTCCTCTCCAACTTTCCGACCCAAATTAAACCACACTAATGCAGTCACTCATGAAGTCTGGTTTGGATTCCTTAACAGTCTCCTAAACATTCCCCTAACCTTAGCCTCCTCCTTCACACGCATATTTTTTCAGTTTAATGTTCCTTTAACAAAGCTCTGTTCATACACAATTCAAAAATTATGAATTGCTCTCTTAAACCCCTAATAAACAAACCTGACATTCTCTGACCCCAACATCTCTCTCCAGTGTTAACTCCCACATTCTCTTATTCACATACCAATGACTAGCTAAAAACACACTCAGCACTTTTCACAACTATGCAATTTTGTTCACATTATTCTATTTATCCAGAATCCTTTATGAACACTGCTACCTAACAAAATCCCACCGACTCTTGAAGATCTTGCTCAAAAGCCACCTCCTCCCAGAAGCCTATACTTATCTTCCAGATGAGAAAATACTGTCTCCTTCCTTTAAACAAATTCTATAAAACATGGTGTAAATTCCTAGTGGCATTCCTTATTTTCTACCTTGTACTAACGTTACTGATACTTATATCCATTCACCCCTGAACTATAAATCCCAAAGGCTCAAAGCAATAGACTTAATATATTATCAAATATTCTAGAACACAGGAGGTGGTCAAAAAGCACTATTTAAACAAGCAAATGGGAGACTTTTACCTAGAAGATGTATAGGCTTATTCATGAAAGAACATGACCAAAACTCCTGCTTCCAGCTAGTCAGATCACTGCTAAGAAACATACCTTCACTGTGTATCTACTGGAACCAATCTATCAACTTTTGGACCACAGTACAACAACCAGTCCTGTTTCCACTGCAGCGAGATATATACTCTGGAGAAGGAATATACATTGGTAGTTTCTAATTCCTTAACTATGATACCAAACACTATTGGCTTAATTTATCCCACTCAATATTTAATTCCAAAATAAATGAATTAACATTTGATATTATTTTTGAAAATTACATCATTTGAGAACATCTGAAACATACAGTTGTCTTGACACAAGAGTTAAGAATCATTAGCTAACAGTGCCAAAAGTATCTCGTGGGAAAAAAGTTAATACTGACTTGTCTTACTCTTATGAATTAAAAAGTAGCAAGTAAACTTTGTAACACAAAATATATTCCGAAAAATTGAAATAGCAAAGTATATTCATACTCAGCATATGTATTTAAAAGGTTACAATTAAACCTTTCAAATACAAGTAAACAACATTCTTTTCTAACATACAGATTTTTTTAACTGACCACAATGAGATATCAGTATACAACTCTCACAACGGCTAAAATAAAAAACTGTGACAATTGTAAATGCTGGCAAAAATGAAGAAAAAGTGAATCATTCATACAGTGCTGGTAAGAATACAAAAAGTAGTGTCACTGTGAAAAAATAGTTTGGCAGTTTCTTAAAAAACTAAACATTAAATTGCCATAGGACCCAGCAAGTGCACTCTTGCACATTTATCCTAGAGAAATGAAATCTAAGTTCACACAAAAACCTGTACACAAATGTTAATAGCGGCTTTATTTAATCACCAAAAAATGGGATCAGCCCAGATGTTGTCATTCGACAGGTAAACAGTAAAAACAAGCTGTGGTACATATATACCATAAAATACATTCGGTGATTAAAAAAAGAATAAACTTGATAGACACAGCTTTGATAAATCTTCAGGTGATTATGCTGAGTGAAAAAGCCAATCCTGGCTGGGCATTGTGGCTCACACCTATCATCTTAGCACTTTGGGAGGCCCAGGTGGGCGGATCACTTGAGTCCAGGAGTTTAAGACCAGCCTGGGCAGTATACCGAAACCACATCTCTACAAAAACTACAAAAATTAGCCATGAGTAGTGGCATGCAGGTGTAGTCCCTGCACTCGGGAGGCTGAGATGGGAGGATCACTTGAGCCTGGGAGGTGAAAGCTGCCGTGAGCCATGATTATATCACTGAACTCCAGCCTGGGTGAGAGAGTGAGGCCCTGTCTCGAAAAAAGAAAAAAGAAAAAGCCAATCCCAAAATGTTGCACACTGTATGACTCCATTTACATAACCTTTCTGATGAAGTGACTAAATTTAGAAATACAGAATAGAATGGTGGTTGCCAGGGGCTGGAGAGAGTGGTGGCAGTAGGGAGGTGGGTATGAGCGATCCCTGTGATGTTCAACTATTTAGTATCATGACTGTGGTGGTGAATAATCTACACAGGTGACAAAAGTGTACAGAATGTAATACACATGTACACATACACATGCACAAAAGAGAAGTCAAACTCAGGAGATCTGATTGAGATTGGTGTGTTGTATCAATCTCAATAACCTGGTTGTGATATTATACTCATTTTGTAAAATGTTACCATCTGAGCAAAATGCATAGGGATTTCTCTGTATTATTTATTAGATCTGCACATGGATCTATAACAACCTCAATAAGATTTTCAACTCGAAAACATGTAATGAAAAAAAAAAAAATCCTGACTGGGCGCAGTGGCTCACGCCTGTATTCCTAGCACTTTGAGCAAGCCAAAGTTAGTGGATCACTTGAAATCAGGAGTTTGAGACCAGCCTGGCCAACACGGCAAAACCCCGTCTCTACTAAAAATACAAAAATCAGCCGGGCGTGGTGGCGCACACCTGTAATTCCAGCTACCTGGAGACTGAGGCAGGAAAGCTGCTTGAACCTGGGAGGTAGAGGCTGCCATGAGCCAAGATTGCACCACTGCACTCCAGCCTGGGTGACAGAGTAAGACCCCATCTCAAAAAAAAAAAAAACAAAACAAAACAACTGGCTATCTGCCTCATCTTGAAGCCTCATGACTTCATGACTACTGCCTAGTAGCCCAATTTCCTAACATATAAGCTTAACTTGCCACCACTAAGGGTAACTGAGAGGCCCTGACTTTAGTACCCCGGTAGTAACTGTGAGCTGCCAGAGCAGACACTATGATGTGCCAGCCAGACATGCCCTCACTCCCAAAGATCAAGGTACTACTCATTCCCCCAGGTGCTGAGAATGTGGCCGGCTGAGAGCTCACAGTCTAGTCCATCCATCCCCAGGAATTGGTCTCAACAAAAAGGAGCTGCCTTGCCCAAGGTTACTTTCTGCTCTAGGGACAGGCCATATCCAGTGACTGGTCTATACACAGATAGAAAGGTCTAGCTCCTTGCCTCAATTCAGGCAGAGATCACTGTGGGATTGGCTGAGACGCCATTGCCACTGCCTCTTCATTCAACTTCTCCCTGTGCTTAATCTTGCTTCCCTTACTTCTACCGGTGTGGTACCAGAGAACACTCTACCACCTATACGCACACTTTAGACTCAGAACTGGTTCCCCAGAGAACACGATCTATGTTACTAGTATCCTTTTACCCATACTGTACTTCCAAGTAATACCTTCTGAAGTAAGTTCAAAGAGTTTTCTAAAATCTCATATTGATCTTAAAAGTAAGCACACCTGATGGCCACATTTAAGACATAACCAAACTGAAGGCTTTTCTTCTGTTTCTTCTTCAGCTTTATCTTTCACTTTATTGTCAGTCTTACAGTCTTGGCAAATATTCCATTCCACATTCACTAAAGCCTTTTTCAAGTTACCTTGTTCCAATCCTTTTCTAATGTGTCTGCACATAGGTTCTATTAAAACAAATAATAGAGAAGGAATACATAAGGTCAAAACTCACTTTCTTCGGTTAATCTCAAAACTTAACCTTGATTCACATTTCAAAAATGAAATTTACTCTGTAAAGTAACTGTTAGATATTCTGAACTTAAAATTGTTTGATGTTTGAATAATACGAGATGAATATGTGAGAAACAGATTTGATACAAATTTGTGAAGTTTTGCTTTCTTAAAGTCCTAAATATAACCACCACTGCCCCCACTACAAATTCATTTCAATTTATTTGGCTATTCCCTTTAAATTAAGGACCTTTATCATATTTATGATTCTCTTTATCTTTAAAGATTTGTAGAAAACACCCTTCATTCAGTCAATGGTACACCTACTACAGGGCAGGCACTGTGCTAGACGCTCAGGAGCCCAAAATTGACCAAGTCACAGCTCCTTCCTTTGAGTAGCTCACATTCCGGAAGGAAAGGCAGCTAAATAAATTAATGTATAAAAATCTCTGAAACATGGTGTAGCAGCAAAAGAAGAGAAGACTAAAGTCACCAAAAGTGTCACAGGGGAGGTAATATCTGTGCAATCCTAGAAGATAATAATAGTAATAAAAATTGCTGATATTAATTAAATATGTTCTATGAACTTTGTTAAATGTTTTGCATACATTATCTCATTTAATCCTTACAATCACCCTAGAAGACAGTATTATTCCCAATGATAAATGAGAAAACTAAGATTTACTGCCCACATAACTACTGAGTATCTATGCCAGAATTTAGACTCAAATCTTTCTGACTTCACGGCTCACACTTTAAACTGTGACCTCAGGGAGTGAAGGGCAATCTGAAAATGCCAATGCCAAGAACAAAAACATGTAAAAGTGCATGCCGTCTCCCCAGATGATGGAGTTACACAATGTGTGAAAATGAGCAGTTGAACCTGAGGCTGAAAACTCTGTTGGGGCCAAGATAAGTAAAGAGCTTTGCAAATCACTCTAAAGTGCTGAGTCGTTTCAGGAACACTGGAGGTTTAGAAACTAGTCAAGTGGCATAATTAGCTTTATGTCCAATGATCTTACACCAAGAAAAGAAATATAAATGCAACTGAGATCATGTGGAAAAACTACCAAATCTCGGTCCTCAAAGAAATACAAACTGGAAAAAGAAGGTACCCTTTTTCAACTATCAAATCAGCACAGATTTTTACAGATGATACTAACCAGTGCTGATGAAGGTTCAGGGAAATGGGCACTTTTCTATGCTGCTAGGGGGCCTGGAAATTAGTAAAACATTCCTGGATGGCAATTTAGCAACAGAATCAAAAGAGCCTTGAAAATGTTGATACCCTTCTATTAAAAAATTATATATGTGTATTAGGAAAATATTTAAATATACACAGAGATTTAGCTATAAAGTTGTTTACTACTGAGCCATTCATAATACTAAAAAGTTAAAGATTACCTAAATCTGTAACAGTAGAAAATTATCTAAATAAATTATGAAATACCCATGATCTTTGGTCAATGCAATAATATGCCATTAAAAATGTTGTTGAAGGTCCAGTACGGTGGCTCATGCCCGTAATTCCAGAACTTTGAGAGGCTGAGGCAAGTGGATCACTTGAGGTCAGGAGTTCAAGACCAGCCTGGCTAACATGGTGAAACCCCATCTCTACTAAAAATACAAAAATTAGCTGGGTGTGGTGGAACACACCAGTAATCCCAACTACTCATGAGGCTGAGACAGGAGAATCGCTTGAACCCGCGAGGCAAAGGCTGCAGTGAGCTGAGATCATGCTACCGCACTCCAGTCTGGGCAACAGAGACAGACTCCATCTCAGAAAAAAAAAAAAAAAAAAATGTTGTAGAAGGTTGGGCACAGTGACTCTCATGTGTAGTCCCAGCACTTTTGGAGGCCGAGGCAGGCGGATCACTTGAGGCCAGGAGTTCAAGACCAGCCTGACCAACATAGGGAAACATCGTCTCCATTTAAAAAAAAAAAATTAGCTGGCTGTGGTGGGATATGTCTGTAATCCCAGTTACTCGGAGGCTGAGGCACAAGAGAATCGTTTGAACCTGGGAGGCAGAGGTTGCAGTGAGCTGAGATTGCACCACTGCACTCTAGCCTGGGTGACAGAGCGAGACTCTTTCTCAAAAAAAAAAAAAAAAAAGTAGAAGACTGTTAAATGACATATAGATTATAAACATTACATTAAAATGCAGATAACAATAATGTACAGTTTTATACCATTTTCATATTTTAAAACATATTCATTTAGAGATATAAACATTAAAGATTTAGTCAATGAAATATACCTAAAGTTTCAGAGGAATCATCGATTGGAACAGTTTTTCCCTTTGTCCGTTTCTTTCCCATGTTGGCACTTTATGGATTACTTACTGACACAAAATAATAATCTAGAAAACAAGATAAAGTTAGCTTGAACAAAAAAGAAAGTATGTCTTATATTTCTCTAGGAGACAGTAAAATAATGAAGCCACATATATTATGTGTGTCTATCACACTGTAATTTATAAAGACCAATCACATATAATCATCTAATTTTCAATAGGAACTCAAGTAGATAGAATAGTTATCTCCCCTGTTTTTCACAGCGTAGGAAACTGATTCTTAGCAGGCTTAAGAGGTTTTCAATACATGTAGAAGGTCAGGAGAGAACCCTGGTCTTCTTACACAGGTCTTGAACAGTCTCAGAACTTGATACTCTTAGGAAGCTGACTCCTCACTACGTACATGTGAAATAATAGTGGCACTTTAATCAGAAAACTGATTTCCTTTCCTTCTAAGCTATCTTTCTTAGCTCTGCAGTCTATGCAAATTAAATTGATAATTTCTCTAATAAAAATTAAAAATAATTCGGACAACAACCTCCTGAAGGGAGTTAGAAATTTTCCAAAACAGCTTCAAAGCTAAATACAAAAAGTGATACACTGTTGTGCATTTTCCACACCAGGATTTCCTATGCATATCAGCTAAATGGAAATTGATTACAACTGCATTCTTGACTATTTACATTATTACATTATTGCCAAAACCACTTTGGAAGGCTATGACAAATCTAGCTGCACATCACATCTTCACCTTTTTAGTCAACAATTCAAACTTAGAAAACAAGAAAAGGGCTAAAAGTACATACAGGTCTACCTATCTAGAATTATAGATTTTAGAAATAAATACAACATATAGCACCCAAGTTCTTGCTTCCAATCCAACTCACTCTAATCGGGGTGGGAGTTCAGTACTACATTCATCTTCCAGTTATGCCATTTTTATTATATCATCTCTTGATTGAAAGCATTTAACAGTTTCCCAGACCACACTCCCTAAACTTTAGCCTTTATAAATAGGGACCATAGGCCTTTATAAATTTGGCCCCAATGCTCAGCTAATCCTGACTCTCTATTATGCCTCGACAACAAAAACAACAACAAAAAACCCACTAAAATTATAATTATATAGTACTTTTGATCTTCAAAGTCCTTTCACAAACATTATCACATCGGATTTCCATAACAACACTTTAAACAGACATTTCACTCAAGGAGAAAACTCAGGAAAAAAAATGGTGAAAGATCACACAGGGTAACAAAAATGAGCTAAAAGGCAGGTATTGTCTGGATGCGGTGGCTCGCGCCTATAATCCCAACACTTTCGGAGGTCGAGGTGGGAGGATCGCTTGAGGCCAGAAGTTCAAGACTAGCCTGGGCAACAAAAAAGCGACACTCTATCTCTACAAAAAAAAAAAAGGTAAAACGCACATGTTTGGGTTTCAAGACCACCACTTTTTACCTGCCAATCAAGTCAGTCTCTTTTTGGTTTTTTTTGAGACAGAGTCTTGCTCTGCCGCCCAGGTTCAAATGCTGCTTCTACCTCAGACTCCCGAATAGCTACGATTACAGAGCCCACCACCACACCCGCCTAATTTTTGTATTTTTAGTAGAGACGGGGGTTTGAACTCTGGGCCAGACTGGTCTGAACTCCTGACCTCGTGATCTGCCCGCCTCGGCCTCCCAAAGTGCTGGGATTAAAGACGTGAGCCACCGTGCCTGGCCAAGTCTGTCTCTTGTACTCCACTCCAAAACACTTTGTACCCTCCGCGCCTTGATGTCTTTGATTTCTAGCCGTAATGTTCTATCTATCTAAATCTTACCAATCTTGCAAGCTACCCATTTCAAGGAAGCCTTAGACAATCATTCTACTCTAAATTAACCTCTCCACTGAACTTCTCCAGTATTTATGGTATGCTCCAGTCATCTTGTCCCCTTATCAGATATTCTAGTGAATTTCTTAAATTTTTTTCTGGGTTTATCTTATTTCTCTAAGCAGAACCTAAAGTTCTTAGAAAAATAAATGGTTTCAGGCATAGCTTTGGAACTGCCTATAATATCTAGCATAATGTTAGTACATAGCAGGTCCTGAAGAAATACTTCTTGCATTTAAATAGAAAAATAGAATAGTACCTGAGGCATAAAGGATGATTACAAGGTGCAAAGGTAGGTACATAAGAATGAAGCAAACAAGTTCTGGTGAAAAAGAAAAGAGTGAAGAATAAGAAGTCAGAAGTCTGCAGCAGTGAAGACAGACAGCACTAGTAAATCCGGTTTTAGGATTGCAGCAGCTCAAGACTCCATAGGAAACTTGAAAGACGCATTGTTAATTGCTGCAGGCAGAGGACATACAGGCGTCACTCCAGTGCTGCGGAAAGAGCCCCAGTAAATTTCTGACAACTGTAAAGGCAACTAATGAGTCACGAGGAGAGAATACTGTGACTTCCATCAGCTCTAAAACATCAATAAGCTTACTACACTTTTCAAGTAGTGTCATCGGATGAGTATTAGCGTCCTAGTGAAATGACTCTTTGCAGGACTCCGTACAAAATCTAAATCAAAGATAGTGTTGCCGGCTCTCATATTATTCCAAGTCTCTTCTCTCTCTGCCCTCCCAGTCGTCCCCCGCCTACTCGGTTCCATTAAAAATGTAAGCGTGTGGAAAACTTTGTCAGCAGGTCTTAACGTGGCTTTCAAGTTTTGCGTAGATCAGTCCTCTCCTAGGTGTAGTCAACTGGATAGGTGACAGATCCTGCTTTTCCTACCAGCAGTAAGAACACGGCTGCAAACCCAGCCCCAACCCATAGGGTAGTCCCTGCCACGCGCCACCCACCCACTTGCTCGGCGCCTGCCACACCTCCCCTCTCCTCCTCTTCTAACTGCTCCGATCCCACCGGGGAACCCCGGGGTCCACGGGGTCGAGAAGGGCGCCAGCAGCAGCATCTCATTGGCCAGCTTCTGGAACTGACAAGACACGCAGCCAATGAGATCGCAGTACCGGAAGTAGCCAGGTTACGTGCTTAAAGAGTGGGGCCTTCAAGAAGAGAACGAAGTTAGGGCGGAAAACAGGGGCTCTCCCAGCGCAGGAAGTCAGGCGAGCGACGACTGCCAGGTAGTGCGACCAGAACTCACCCACGGCGACAGAGCCCATAACTGCATCCCCTCATGGGCCTTTGGGCTGGGCAGCCAGCTCCGTCTTCCTCCTGGTGACGAATTGAGAGCGACGGAGCAGACGCCAGAGTGACCCCTGGAAAGCAACAACTTCCGGAACGCGGCATTATGGGAAGTGGCTAGGCCACCACCTCCCCACCCCCACCTCCCGTGACCATGGGCTCTGACGCTAGTAAATCTGCGCCTGCGTGCGGCTTGCGCCGGAAGTTCGGGCTTAGGGGTTTGGTTGTCAATGGGTTTTCTGGTCTCTGACATAACCATGAAGTTATATAAATGCCTCTGAAGTGTGGGCATCTGGTGGTGGTCTGAGCCTTGGAGTTCCGCAGATGGTTACCTTTCTGGAACACATTACATTTGGAGACTAACAGGGGGAGCGCTTAAATTTCTGTTTCCATTATTCTGTCCTCTCGACTTCTAAAACTGAGTACGTGAGTTGTCTTGAATTTACCTTCCTGCGCCATGTCAGAATAAAAAACGCAGAGAGTTAATTTTTTTTTTTTTTTTTTTTGAGACGGAATATCCCTCTGTCGCCCAGGCTGGAGGGCATTCTTCTGCCTCAGCCTTCCGAGTAGCTGGGACTACAGGCGCACACCACTACACCCGGCTAACTTTTGTATTTTTAGTGGAGCCGGGGTTTCGTCATATTGGCCAGGCTGGTCTGGAACTCCTGACCTTGTGATCCGCCCTTCTCGGCCTCCCAAAGTGCTGGGATTACAGGCGTGAGCCACCGCGCCCGGCCGCGAGAGTGAATTTTTAAAGCAGAACTGAAAGACGGTGTCAAACATAAATTGCGGGAGAGGAGGGAATTTTCAAATATTTACTGTTCATTCTTTGAAAATTTGTAAGTGCGAGGCTGGGCGCGGTGGCTCATGCCTGTAATCCCAACACTGGGAGGCCGAGGCGGGTGGATGACCTGAGGTCAGGAGTTCGAGACCAGCCTGGCCAACATGGTGAAGTCCCGTCTCTACTAAAAATACAAAAAATTAGTCGGGCATGGCGGCGAGCGCCTGTAATCCCAGCTACTCGGGAAGCTAAGGGAGGAGAGTCGCTTGAACTCTGGAAGCAGAGGTTGCAGTGAGCCGAGATCACTCCATTGCACTCCAGCCTGGGCAACAAGAGTGAAACTCTGTCTCAAAAAAAGAAAATATGTAAGGGTACACTTTGTGCCAAGCCTTCCCTCAAATGAATTAAACATAGGCCTCTCTGCCCTGGAGTCTTAGTTTAGTAGAGAAAATAGTAATCCCTACCAAGGGTGCGAGGGTGGGGGGCTTGCAGATATCTATAGAAAAATAGTCAAAGAATGTAAACAGGTAATTCACCATAAAAAAAAATTGGTCATAAAATAAATGTCTATTGTTACTAATCAGATGAAAGGAGTTTAAGATGGTGGCATACTAACCACCAGAGTAACATTTGGTTAAATTTGGGGGGAAACTAGCTCTCTTGCTTTTTACTGCTGAGATAAATTTTTTTGTTTGTTTGTTTTCTTTTGTTTTGAGACTGGCTTGCACTCTGCTGCCCAGGCTGGAGTACAGTGGCACGATCTCAGCTCACTGCAACTTCCACCTTCCGGGTTGAAGCCATTCTCCTGCCTCTGCCTCCTGTGTGGCTGGGATTACAGGCACATGCCACCCCACCGCACCCAGCTAACGTTTGTAGTTTTTGGTAGAGGTGGGGTTTCAGCATGTTGGCCAGGCTGGTCTTGAACTCCTGGCCTCAAGTGATCCACCTGCCTCAGCCTCCCAAAGTGCTGAATTACAGGTGTAAGCCACCGCGCCCAGCTTAGTTTCATCTTTCACTTTATTCTGACAGCATTATGACATTAAAGTCCAAGAGATATTGGGCTCGTCCTTGTTTGGTCTCTGGTGATTTAGATGAGGCAGGACTGAGCCCCCACGAATGTATTATCTCAAAAAGTTAGTAGCCGCTATTATGCAAAGTTCCAAGGCTCAAGTCAAATCCTGGGCATATCCACGGATGTGTGGTAGGGCATAGGCTCCAGCTCTCATGCAAGAAAGAACAGGAGTGGGATGAGATAATTTTTTAAAGCTTTATTCTCCAAGCTCCAGAAATGCAGGCTTTTTGCCCCCACCCATTTTAAAACAGAGCCTTAAGGTCATTGTACCATGTGCTTCCTGTCTGAAAGGCTCTTCCCCTTCATCTTCCGGGGTTGGTATCTTATTGTCATTCTGTTCACACCTTATTTTTAATTTACTTATTTTAGAGACAGGGTCTGGCTTTGTAGCCCAGACTAAAGTGCAATCATAGTTCACCGAAACCTTGAATTCCTGTGCTCAAGTGATCCTCACGCCTCAGCCTCCCGTAGCTGGTACTGCAAGTGTGTGCCACCCCATCAGCTAACTTTTTGATTTTTTGAAGTCACCGTGTCTCTGCAAAAGCTTGCTGCCCAGGCTGGTCTCAAACTCCTGACCTCAAGCGATACTCCAGCCTCAGTCTCCCAAAGCACTAGGATTCCAGGTGTGAGTCACCGCATCCAGCCTCTATACATGCCTTAAAAGTCACTTCCTTCCAGTTACAGGGCAATCTAGGTAACACAGTCATCTGATCACTCACATCACCTTACTTTACTTCTCTGCTAGCAATTATCCACTAACTGGTAATTTTCTTTTTTTTTTTTTTAAACAGAGTCTCACTCTGTTGCCCAGGCTGGAGTGCAGTAGTGCAGTTACAGCTCACTGCAGCCTCAGTCTCCCAGGCTCAAGCAATTCTCCTACCTCAGCCTCCTGAGTAGCTGGGACTACAGGCCTACAGGCACAGGACCCCACATCTGGCTAATTTTTGTATTTTTTGTAGAGACAGGGGTCTCTCTCTATTGCCCAAACTGGTCTCAAACCCTGGGCTCAAGTGATCCTCCTTGGTCTCCCAAAGTGCTGGGATTATAGGCATGAGCTATTATGCCTGGCCATAATTTTCTTTTCTTTTCTTTTCTTTTTTTTTGAGACTGAGTTTTGCTCTTGATGCCCAGGCTGGAGTGCAATGGTGTGATCTCGGCTCACAGCAACCTCTGCGTCCCGGGTTCAAGCAATTCTCCTGCCTCAGCCTCCCCAGTAGTTGGGATTACAGGCATGTGCCACCATGTCCAGCTAAGTTTTGTATTTTTAGTAGAGACAGGGTTTCTCCATGTTGGTCAGGCTGGTCTCGAACTCCCAACCTCAAGTGAGCTGCCTGCCTTGGCCTCCCAAGGTGCTGGGATTACAGGTGTGAGCCACTGTGCCCGGCCCATAATTTTCTTTTATTTTTACCTTTATGTTTAGCCCTCTTCATCCATACACAGAAATGTGCAAATATAAGGTCTTTGAGAGATGCAACATCTTTGTGTTGTTCATGGCTATAATTAGTACCTGGAAGTGCCTGGAATATAGTATTGATTGAAAAGAAATAGTCATGAGAAATAAAATGCTGTACAAGAATGTTCGCAGCTGCTTTATTTATAATAGCCAAGAAACTGAAGATAGCCCAGGTTTCTATCAAATCAAGAATGGAACTGGTATATTCATATGATGGAATACTACTGAGCAATCAAAAGAAACTGATACACATGATAACAGATGAAAATATTTCCCTGAGTGAAAGAACCCTTACACAAAAATATCTATTGCATGACTCCAACCATTTGAAGTTCTAGAACAAGAAAAATAAATATGGTGGGGAAAAAAAATCAGAACAGTGGTTACCTTTGGGGAGAACTGGGTGGGGACTAAGAAAGGGCATGAAAGAACTTTATGGGGTGATGGTAATGTTCTATACGTTAATATGGCTTGAGTTCCATAGGTGTATGCATTTAAAAACTCATGTGTATTTAAGGTATACATTTCATTTTTACCTTTAAAATCCTTAATTTGGGCCGGGCGTGGTGGCTCATGCCTGTAATCTCAGCACTTTGGGAGGCCGAGGTGGGTGGATCATGAGGTCAGGAGATCGAGACCATCTTGGCTAACACCGTGAAACCCTGTCTCTACTAAAAATACAAAAAATTAGCTGGGCGTGGTGGCGGGCGCCTGTAGTCCCAGCTACTTGGGAGGCTGAGGCAGGAGAATGGTGTGAACCCAGGAGGCAGAGGTTGCAGTGAGCTGGGATGGCGCCACTGCACTCCAGCCTGGGCGACAGAGCGAGACTCCATCTCAAAAACAAAACAAAACAAAACAAAAACTAATTTGAATGATGTACATTAGACATACTTAGAAGCTACTGTCTGCAGTTTACTTTGAAATGTATGAAAACAGATGGATTGATGAGATATGTGACAAAGCTGGTAGAGTAAAATTCTATACTCTCCAGGTCAGTGTTTTTCAACCTCAACACTATCAGCATTTTGAACCAGCAAATTTGTTATTGTCAGGGGATGTCCTGTTCATTGTAGGAAGTTGAGGAGCATCCCTGGGCTCTACCTACTCCATGCCAATAGCATCCTTCCAGTTGTGACAACCCAAAATGTCTTCAGACACTGCTAAATAGAGGGGAAATCCGTCCTTCCCCTTCTCTTGAGATCTGCTCCACTGTAAAATTCTCTCGACTTTGCTTTACACTTGAATTTTTTCATAATAATGTTGGAGGAAAAAATAAATTATGACATTGAAAAATGCTCATGAAACACCATGCAGAAGATGTAGTTTATGAACACCTACAATACATACTGTCGTCTTTTTGTTTAAAAAAAAGCGGCAGGGGTGGGGGGGGAGAGCTAGCAGTGATATTTAGTATTGCTATATGTCAGTGTTTACAAATCGTATCTATGACACTTCTAAAATAAATATTATAAGGTGTATTCCATATAGTTGGATTGGGAAGAAAAACATTTCCAATTACCCTCCTGTCAGCATCTCCTTCAAACTACCCTTTTATTAAGAGGGAAAAATATGCATTCACACGGTTCCTCCCAGCTTGGTTAATGGGCGAGAACACCTAAGATAGCTAAGGCCACCATGCATCCAGGCTCAGATCTCCCTAATTGCCCTCCTCCTCCATGATTCAGGGACAAGGAGGATCACCACTGTGTAGGAAGATACTAGAAATGCAAAATTTGGACCCCCGCCCCTACCTACCGAATCTTGATCTGCATTTCAACAGGATTCCCGAACTATTCCTAGGCACGTTCGAGTTTGAGGAGCATTAACGGACCAATTCTTTGTCCCTGAAAAGTGCCCACTATATAGACCGACAGTGGCAGCCGCTGGGAAATGACAACGGGGTTGGCATGGAGAGTTATTAAGAAGAAAAACTCCGGCCGGGCGCGGTGGCTCAGGCCTGTAATCCCAGCACTTTGGGAGGCCAGGGGTGGCGGATCGCCTGAGGTCAGGAGTTCGAGACCAGCCTGGCCAACATGGTGAAACCCCCCGTCTCTACTAAAAAATACAAAAATTATCTGGGCATGGTGGTGGGTGCCTGTAATCCTTGCTACTCGGGAGGCCGAGGCAGGAGAATCGCTTGAACCCGAACCCGGGAGGTGAAGGCTGCTGTGAGCCGAGATCGCGCCACTGCACTCCAGCTTGGGGGACAGAGCGAGACTCCGTCTCAAAAAAAAAAAAAAAAGGAGAAGAAGAAGAAGAAAACTCTGCGACTGAGAAGTACCTAGCAGGGACAAAGCATTCCCTTAGTCGTTCCAGCTGCGTACACAAACACTGGCGGACCCGGCGCCCGACAGGCCAGCTCTAGCTTCCGGCCGCGGCCCTGCGCGCGCATGCGCCGTGCGCCTTGTTTTTTCTGATAGGCCGCTAGGTGAGGCGGTTTGTGAGTTTTGGGTTGCAGTATACTAGAATTTTGAGGTTTCCTTCCGGTGAAAATTGAGCTGTCCATGGAACCCGGGTTACAGCAGTGAGGGGGCCGCGACTCAAGGTTAGTCTCGCCTCAGCGCCAGTGGCGAGCGCCACGGGGGTTTCCCACGCTGCAGCGCCGGGCGCAACTCTTTGGGAACGTTCCCGGCATGGCTGCCCGCCTCCCCTCACTGCAGGCGCCCATCGGTCGGTTTGGACCTCGGCGTTGCTTCCCGGCTTCAGCAGCCCCGCTCCAGCCGGCGACCTCGCCCCGAGGGCAATCAGGGTGCGAGGGTGGCTGCGTGCTGGGCATTCTTCCTGAGAGCTTCGTGGCTTGGATCGCGGGGTACCGTGCTCTGTTTTTCAAAAAAAAAAAAAAAAAAATCTGCAAGGAAAAGATATTATTCCACTCAGAAATATCAAGTTTCAGTCTACGTTCTCTTAAATATATATATATTTTTTAAATAATAGTAAAGGCGAGGTCTCCCTGTGTTAGCCAGGCTGGTCTTGAACAATTGGGCTTAAGCAATCCCCCTTTCTCCCAAAGTGCTGGGATTACAAGCGTGAGCCACTGCGCCCGGCTACAGTCTATTTCCTTACAGCATTCGCTGAAATCTTGAGTCATAAAATTATCTTGAGGGTTTTTTGGAAGGACTGAAATCTCTTAAGCGAAAATAATTTGGCAGATAAATGACCTGTGACATCACTCCCGTAGTTATCCATTCAAGAGTCCCTCCGTCCCGTACTTCTTCGCTATTCCATTTCATCTTTGCTACCTGCAATTCGATAGGACCCTCTCCCGACTTTGCTCACTCCCTGGGAGACGTTAAACAAATATATAGCTCCAAATAAGTGTTGACTCCCAAAATTATATCTGTAGCTCAGTCTCTCGTAGACTCCAAAACTGTATATCTAACTGCATGCTAGACATCTCTATTTAACAGGTGTCTTAGTAGGTGCTTCATTACTTCAGCTCTCCATGAAGCTCTCCTGAAGCTCTCCATGACCACACCGTCCAAATAAATGGCACATCCATACTTTCAGTAGCTTAAAGCCTTGGAGTCATTCTTCCGTGTCTCATGTAATTCATCTGTAAATCCTGTTGCCTCTGTTCTCTCCATGTATCCAGAACCTGAAGTTTACCAGCTTGACCACTATAATCCTATCCAAGCCACCATCCTCTCTCCCTAGTTATTGCGGTGTCTATCTGGTTACCCCACTTTTCCTTTCACTTTTCTCCGTAGCAGCAAGTGTGGGTGGGGATCTTCGTAAGTCAAACCTCTCTTGTAGCTCTTACGTATCAGTCGGGATAAAATTCAAAATTCTGGCCATGCTTTACTAGTCCCAACATAAACTGCCCCACCTTTCCTTACTAAACTCTTTCATTCCCCCTGTCCCCAGCTCACTGTGCGCTGGCCAGCTGCTCTAGCACCCTCCTACCTCAAGGCATTTGAACATGCTGTTCACTTTCCCTCGAACACTCTTGGCCAAGAAAAACACATGGCATCCTTTTTCAGTTCCTTAAAGTCTCTTCCCTACAGTCACCTTAGGAGAAAGGCCTTTCCTGACAACCCCTTGTGCAGTCTCACCCGCCTGCTCCCTTATTGTTTCCCTTGTCCTTGTTTTCTTCAGGTTTCTTCACAGCAGTTATTTACTGGATATAAAAATTCCTTTTTGTTTTTTTTGAAACAGTCTCACGTGTTGCCCAGGCTGGAGTGCAGTAGTATGATCTTAGCTCACTGCAACCTCTGCCTCCCCAGTTCAAGTGATTCTCCTGCCTCAGCCTCCCTAGTAGCTGGGACTACAGGCGTGTGCGACCACACCTGGCTAATTTTCGTATTTTTAGTAGAGATGGGGTTTCATCATGTTGGCCAGGCTGGTCTCAAACTCCTGACCTCAGGTAATCCGCCCATCTCATGCTCCCGAAGTGCTGTGATTACAGGCGTGAGCCACCGCACCTGGGCTGGGCATATAAATTTGTTTTTGATGTCATGGTATCCTCCCACCAGTAGAGTTGTTTTATTACTTTCATTCATCGTTATCTTAGTGCCAATGCTTGAACGTAAGTGCTTTAGAAACATTTGTTGAAATGATGACCAGGCCGGGCTTGGTGGCTCACGCCTGTAATCCCAGCACTTTGGGAGGCCGAGACGGGTGGATCACAAGGTAAAGGAGATCGAGACCATCCTGGCTAACACAGTGAAACCCCATCTCTACCAAAACTACAAAAAATTAGCCAGGCATGGTAGCGGGCACCTGTAGTTCCAGCTACTTGGGAGGCTGAGCCAGGAGAATGGCGTGAATCCAGGAGGCGGAGCTTGCAGTGAGCCAAGATCGTGCCACTGCACTCCAGCCTGGGTGACAGAGCAAGACTGCATCTCAAAAACAAACAAAAAAAGAAATGATGACCAATAATAATAATAGTAATAAGCGGCCCGACACCGTGGCTCATGCCTGTAATCCCAGCACTTTGGGAGGCCAAGGCGGGTGGATCACAAGGGCAAGATTTCGAGACCAGCCTGGCCAATGTGGTAAAACCCCATCTCTACTAAAAAACCCAGAAAGTAGAGGTTGTAGTGAACCAACTCTGCACTCTGGCCTGGGTGACAGAGCTAGACCTTGTCTCAAAAAAAAAGAAAGTTTTTAAATTAGTAATAATAGTAGCAAGCACACATAAAATTTACTCTGTTGCCAGGCACTTTCCACAAATTCTCATCTAATCATCACAGCAACCCTCTCATCCCAGTTACGGAGTTGGGGAGACTAAAGCACAGATAAATTAAGCCACTTGCCTAAGGTCGTGCAGTTGGTAAGTGGCAGAGCCTGGAGTTGCACCTTGGCAGTCTGGTAATAGAATCCAAACACTGGTAACAGAGCCACTCCAACAAAAAACAAAGTAAATGCACTTCCTCTAATAACCACCCAAGAAGTTGTTTTCTGTGTTTCTCAACTCCAAAACAGACTAGCAAATACGTCTATGGAATTCCAATAAGTCCAGGGATTTTAAGTATGTATGAGGATTTTGTTAAAAAACAAACAAAAAAAAAAAGGGCTGGGTGTGGTGGCTCACGCCTGTAATTCCAGCACTTTGGGAGGTGGAGGCGGGCGGATCACGAAGTCAGGAGATCTCAACCATCCTGGCTAACATGGTGAAACCTCGTCTCTACAAAAAATAAAAAAAAAAATAGCTGGGTGTGGTAGCACCTGTAGTCCCAGCTACTCGGGAGGCTGAGGCAGGAGAATGGCGTGTACCTGGGA